AGCCCTGGCAAAGGAAGGCGGGCCGTTGCCAGGAGATTTCTGCTAAGCGCCAGAAGTTATGTAGCATAGTATGGAACATGAGCGAGTTGCATGCATCTAGACTTGCATCTGTTCAGGGCTGCAGCTGTTTGGGGTGGGGTCTTTCAGGTTTGGCGTGCGAACTACTCGCAATTGTCCGCAGACCATCGCTCTCGGACCTTGTCTAGCCGTTTCTTCTTACAGTATAGCAAAGAGGTATTCGGACAACAGCCAAGAAGCTGCAATGACACATCATGACGTGTCACACCTGTGACAGCACGATGCAAGGCCCTGAATCTCATGGGCAACGGCATGACAAACAGCACACACAGCCTATGCTTTTTCAATTGTCTGCCCGGTAGCGTGTTCTGCAGTGATGTGATGTCAGCTGTCGTGCTTTTGGCAAGTGATAGTGCTTGTCTTGTGGTGCCTTGCTTGGTTGTGGCACTGAACCTTCTGGGAAGGTTCCGGAGCAGCGCAGCGGCCAGACTCTGCATCTGACCAGTCAACAGCTGTCTCGGGTGCCTGTGCCGCAGAATTTGTCATGCTGGCCTTCTTCGTTTCTGTTTTCGTTTTTTTTGGTTTCTCCTGTGGAAGCCGTGCTTCTGCAAGGGGCAACCTCGCCAGAAGCCACAGAGGATGCGCCTGGCGGCACCTTTGAGGATCCTTAGCATCACCAGGATGGTCGTTTGATCTATCTTGCTGGTCTTTAGCTGAGGATGTGGCGGCATTGCCATCGAAGCTATACCAGGTGCGAAACACCTTCATCCACATCGAGGCATGGCAGAAGTGCATTCTTGTGGTGAAAGCTGCGCACTAGTGGTGCTGTCGTGGTTGATCAAACTAGCATGATTTTTAGGCAGAGCATTGAGGACAGTTAGCGGTATTCCGGTAATCTTTAGGTGGCACGCAAGCACGAAGCCTGCAAGGTAGTTCAGTCGCAGCAGCAGAGGTCGTGTCATGGATGCATTAACATTGACAGGAGCAGAGCGTCGCAGACCAGCGCACCATCCAGTCTATGCCGCATGGCATGTACCTGGGCATGCAAACGAAGCGGACCCGTCGTGGATGCACAGATTCACAGCCTGCCAGATTCAGCGACTTGCGACTTCTTCCATTTTTCTTCTAAGGTTTAGGCAGCGCCTGCAAGAGGAAGCCATGCAAGGCGCACAAGATCGCGTTGCAGGCGGGGTGCCCGCACTTGGTGCATGTCGTCTGGGCTGGTGCATACCAGGACCAGCCACGCCTACCAAGTCAGCTGAGACAGCGACGCCTCCCATCGCAGAGGTCCCAGAGACCAAGGTGGGCGGCTGCATAGTCGCTGCATGAAACAGCATGAAGTTGCGATCGCGCTTCAGTCTTTTCGCCAAGGAGTTCGCTCCGGGCACGGAGGTGGTCATTGAAGGCCATGAAATCATGAAATCATGATGGCGCAGCCGTCCATGCCCTGAAGTCGTGCCAAGAGTCCAGGACTACAGAAATTCCCCGCCTTCAACGGCCTCCGTGGGACCATCCAGCTCCTCGACAAAGCGACTGGCCGCCGGGCCCCCAGTGCATTGAAGCCAGGCCCTCAGAGGCAGCACCCCCATCTTGTCGGCATTGCCCCTTCAAACAATTTTCATGATGACATCTCACCGAGCTTTACACCTGTCTGTTGCAGGCTGCATTGCTGTTTCATAGTTCATGAAGGCGCATCTCGATTTTTCTCTTAGACTGCTTCAGCTCAAGTGCGACGCCTCATTGCACTGAAGCCCATAAAGATCTGAAGTGAAAGATTGGTTTTGGAAGAAGCGATCGTGAGCAACGACTTTCTGAGAAGTGTTCATTGCACGACTGGCAAGTGTCCGTGTCTGTCCCCTGGCCCTATTTCACCTCAGAAGGGCCACGTGCCGCCGGAAATCCGCCAATGACCTTAGCCTTAGTCATATTCCCAGAAAGCCCGGCACGTGAGGTTACAACGTGCAGCTTGCCTCCTCAGATGGACTGCTCGAGCAGATTGCAAAGATCAAAGGCGAGAACCTCCGAATGCGGCTCGGAGATCAACCCAAGCAGAAGCAATCGCTGCCTTTTCCTGCTTAACCCTGTTTCGGACCCTGCTAGGTTGGTGCCGCCGCCTCCTCCTTTCGAGCCATGCCCAGCATGCTTGGGGGTTGCACGAGCCATCACGCCATTCCTTGCCATTGCTGGCATCTGCAAAACTCAGGAGTCCAGCGTCGCAGCCTCGGTAGGTCGCAAGCGCTCCAAGAAGATTTGGGATACAGCTGCAAGGGAACACCCCTGTGCCAGATGCGCCAGACGAGGTTTGCAGAGCTGAGACCCCGTCAACCATGCACGCCAGGCTAGGATCGCAAGTGCCCACTAATCTTAGTCACAACTTCCTGGAAGGTCTGTAGAAGCATAGCCCCGTTGCATGGCATCGTCATGACAGCTAGATTCGCAAGGGCGCCGGACTTTGTGCCCATGCAGCCCATTGGGCTGACAAGCGTTCCGCCGGCGCCTCTTTGGCAGGTGCCCTCTCCTGTGTCGCATGTGGCTTCTTGCTGCTCTTGCTGCTGCTGCTGCTGCTGCTGCTCGGCGAGCTTGCAGGATCCCCACGTGGTACCTCCGCTCTACGCGAAGGCCTCAGGCAGGATGTCGAGACATTCGGCCTCTCTGCGACGAGAGCCTTTTTGCAGAATTGACATGAATTGACGAACTGAGATCATACTGAGGATCACTGCCAGTATGATCCTTATGCTCAACGGCACCCGGCTTGCAGTATCTTGCAGTGTTCTATAGGGTCTCACTCGCTGCCACTTGCTGACAGGTACCCTCCCGTTGCTCCTGTGAAGTACGCAGCCCGCTGACCATTGTATTTCGATCAACTACTTCGAGCTTGCACCTTGGCCGGCAGCTTGTATGTGCGCAGCGCATGTGCCCACTCTAAGTCCACAAAAAACTATGTGCAAATCTTCGTGGTGAGTTCAAAGAATTCGCGCCTTGGCTGACTTCAGCTCAATGGTTTCAGGCAGTTTTGGGGCGCTCACTGGCATACTGTCGCTGTCCCGCGCAGGGGACGTTGAGTCCATGTCATCCACTCTAGTTGCTTTGCAGCTGAGCGACGTCGCCAATTTTTTCAGACACAGGGCTAGCTGATGGTGCAGATGTTGATGACCTGTAGCACCCTGCAGGGCTAACGGACTGCATAGATGCCGCAGGCTTGTGATTTGCAAGACTTTAGGGCTGCGCCAGCTTGGCCCCGAAGGGTCCGTGCACGCGTCCATCTGGTCGAAACTCGGGCTGGGCCGACGTGTGCCTTGAGACCCCGGCGACTGTCGCTTCGAGTTAGTGATCGCGGCAGGATCTTCAGAAGCACCTTGACGCCCATTTGAGGCGTGGCCACTGTGTCAGTTTAGACTCGGCGAAGTCAAGGAGCACCGCTTCGGACTTGCAATGGATTTTTTATGGCTAAAAGTAGACGCTAAACTCTAGACCACACCCTGACCGACGCAGTGGCCTCATGGGTATATTTCTGAGTCACCTGCCATGATGTGGACTTCCCAAAGCATGCAGACGGCCTCAAGCCGCTGATCCACAATTTTCAAATCATCTGCTTTTATCTGAAGAGCTTTTTGGTACCCTTTGGGAAGCTTCAGTCACTTCATGCTGACTTCACATCCCTTCCTAGGCATGGACTGGTTCTCATTCCATCGAAAAGCAGGGTTGCCAAGATTCCATGATTGCCCAGATATGAGTGAAACCTGCGCGGGATGGGCACTTTGCATGGCACTGCGCAGCAATGCCGCTGCTGTGTTGGCTCTTGTAATGCCTTCCAGTAAACGCCCAGCGAATATTGAAAAGGCTTGAAGACCTTTGCTCATGCGAATCTACGACAGCATTCCGCTCAGACAAGGGCTTTATTACACATCCGGCATGTCTTTGACATTTGGAAAGGCGCCCGCATGCATTGCCGAGCCCAGCTTGACATGTGCTGAGCGCTATGAAACATTTTTTGGCGGACAGACAGGTGTGCCCCAGGAGTGGGCTTCAATCAAGAGCTCCGGCAATATCAAGACGAATGAAAAAGCCCGCGCGATCGGGCCGAGAGTTGCTGATGCGTTGGGTGCAGGCATTTCGTAAGTCAGCTGTTTCCACAAATTCGAGACTGTTGAATTCTTGGCTCTGAATGCCAGGTTTCAGGTAGACAGCAGGGCTTCACGGTAGCTGCACAACAGCTGCCCGGCAGAGCCCTGCATCGGCCGCATGCAGAGGTTCCAGCGTGCTAGGAGTGGCACGCTTTGCATCGTCGCGGCCGCTGCCTTGCTGTGTGTGCATCAATCAGTCAGCACCAGCAGCACCAGTGCTGCGGACCTCTTCGTGCTTCCGCCGCAGCCCCTCGAGAGAGAGTCTTTGCGCTCCGCGTCTCCTGGCGACAGAACTGATCTGCGTCTTGCAAATCATAAATTGACTCTATCGGCCCGTATCTGAGGTCCGTTGATTCAACAGCAGCCAGCACTGCCAACTTGGCAAAGAACATTGTGGGCGCCGGGGTGCTTTCACTGCCTGCCGGGGCAGGTAAAGTCTTAGATGCTGCCTCTAGCTCCGGTGTCGGCACTCACGAGACGAACGTTTCAGCACTCCTGTGCCTGTACGTGGTCTTCGGTATTCTGAATGCTTACGGCTTCTACCTCATCGGTGAAGTGTGTGAGCGCACAGGAGCTCGCACGTACCAGGAGGCACGCTGCCTACCAACAACTGCTTTTTACAGCGGCCATGTACATGTCTTTCATGTCTACGGCTGGCTGATGGATTGTGGGGTTGAATGTGCGATAATGTGCGCTGGATAGCTCTGACGGTTGCAAACAGTATCGTGCAGGGTGCCCAAGATACAAAGACGCTGCTAGCATGAGTTTATGCATGAGCATTCCTCGGAGTATCTGCAAGCAGTCCTAGTAAGCAGGTGCCGGTATTGGCAGTAATAGTCTAGCAGCAGCAGCGGCGGCGGCGCTGGCGGCAGCAGCAGCAGGTGCAGGAGGAGGTGGTGGTGGTGGTGTTGCTGTTGCTGGTGCTGGTGGGGGTGGTGGGGTCTCGCCGGTAGTGCAAGAACATGTGAGCTGTTATGTTTGCTAGGTACAAGAGTTCGGGTTATCAGCAGTTTCGTTTTCCACGGGGCATTGCTGTTAGGACCTGTCCCTCGCCGCCTTTACTGTTGTATTCTTACAGTAACAGGCCTGGACGTTTTTCGGTCAGAGTCAACCATGGTGAGCCGCAGGCCCTGAGCTTCAGAGATCCTCTGAGGTCTCGTCAGGATGAGGGTTTCAGGACTCAGTTTCATGATTTTTCAGCCCTTTAAGGCATCATGTCACGAGCATTGTTTGAAAGTGTGCGGTGTCTGGAGGCATGGACACGGACACTTGGCAGCCAATTTGCGTGGATGCCAAGTGTTGCATCTGTCATTTGCAGCTTCACTGGCATGGTAGCCTGCGTTGCTGTAATCGGAGACACGGCCTCGCAGCTGCTTACGTCCATGGGACAGGACTTTGTACACAAGGATATGCTTCTGGGAGGCATCTCCTCCCTTGTGCTGTTCCCTTTGTGCTTGATGCCGTCCCTGTCACCTTTGGCCTTTGCGTCTGTACTCGGGCTCATCGGCGTCACCGTCCTATCCTTCGTGATGGTACTACGTTGGTTTGACGGCTCCTACGAACTAGGAGGCAGCTTCTACAGCGATGCCAAGACAACCTTAGACCTGCTGACTAAGTCGCAAGCACCAGCTCAGTCCGACAACATGCTATTCCAGCAGCTTTGCATCTTTGCAGCCATCCTTTCAAATGCGTTCTCCGCACATTTCAATGCGCCTACAATTTTCAACGAGTTGGAGCCGCAGCCGGATGCCAGAGGAAACACGAGCCGGCTCCCGCAGCTGGCGACCGTCACAACCTCGGCCTTTGCCTTGTCAGGCCTGAGGCTGCCATTGCTACTATGAAGAAGTGATCAGAGTAGTGTGAACGGTGTGAAGCGAGGGTGTGACTACTGGCATGACTCTGTAATGGATCTTGCAGATCTTCGTACCAACCAGCCATTCTCACAGCAGCATGCAGCAGGTGTGAGATGTTGTCAGGCTTGATCTTCTGGGTTATTACAATGGCCGGCTTTGAGACCTTCGGTGCTCATGCAGGCGGGTTAGTTGGTGTCCGGTTCTTTGGCATTCATTCAGTCTGGCCCAGATGCATCCGTCCTCAATAGCTACTCAGCAGCCGATCCTTTGGTTGCAGTGGCGAGGGCAGGCAGCCCCTGGCAAGCTTGCAATGCCTCCTGAGCTTGGAGTTGTGACAGCCCACGCCATGTGCTACGCTGCCGGAGGCCTCGGACTATGCGTGCTCTTTGAGTTCCCACTTCTTGAACGCTGTTTCCGGCAGACCGCTGTGGAAGTCCTTGGCATTCCCAAGCAGATCGAGCAAAATGCATCGTGTCTGAACAGATACATATTACATAATAGGTTATGCGTGCAAATGGATGCCGCAGAAGATTGAAGAAGTGCGAATGACAGTCCTATTAAACAAGCACAGGGTGTTGCAGTTGCGGATGGGGCAAAACCTTGAATTGAAGGCACTCGCTGTGGCCACCTCTGTTGGGCTCTCCGTGGCTTTGGCCTTCTTGCCTGGCTTCGGTTTGGACAAGACCTCTGCCTTGGGAGGTGCGCTTGGGGTGCCTTGGCAGAAGAGTTGGTACAAAGGCCTTGGCAAAGCAGGCTAAAAGTTCCAAGAGCCATCGCAAGATCAAAGAAGAGTAGGAAGATTGCCTGATCATGAGTGGCTGATTATTAGAAACTGCTGCTTGCAGAGTTTCGCGGGCGTGCACTGAATTGCTCTAGCAGAGCAAAAAGTTCAAGCTCAGCCCACAAGGGCTGAGGACTGAGAAGAGTATGTTTGCATTATTCTTTTGTTGTTGAATCAAGCCTTAACCTCCAGATCACCTTTAACTCAGCCCAGCCTCGAGGTTTGCTCATGTTGCTCTGATACGTGGCTGTCATGGCCTTGCTTTCGCTGTCTCGTTGCCGCGTTGATGCTGTGACCAACCCAGGCGTCCTTGCTCATCTACATCGCTCCTGCGCTGATGGTCCTTAACTTGCGTCCAGCAAAAGCAGGCCGTGTGCGGAGCAGAGTTTTCCGCAGCTAGCTACCTAGAGCCCCTCCTGAAACGCAAAGCAAGAATCCCGAAGAAACACTGAGCGCAGCCGGACCCTTTCCTCATGAACCGTGGCAGTTTCAACAGCCTGGTCAAGGGTGGCCAGAAAGCTCAGGAAACATGCCATGATCAGGATACCAGGAAGCTGAGCGTGGCACACTTCAGGCGCAAGGCCTTCGCCAGATTGCATGAGATTGCACTGAGCATCATGAGATGGGCCTTTGCCAGTGACACAGGCAGCCAAGAAGCCTTACTTCGAGGGGTTGCAGGCCAGTAGACGGGATTGGTTTCTTTGGCAGAGAAAGTGCACATCATAATGCCTGAATGCCGATGGGTTACCAAGATAAAAGCAACGTCGCAAGCTGAATGCTGCCAGTGCAGATCGGTGCAGGCTTGGGCTCTCTTCTGGGCGGACTCGGTGTTGCAGAGTCCCTGCAAGCATAGACAACAGACGGGGAAAGCCAGACATGCTCGCACGAACTCACATGCCGCTGCGGGCGATAGAGGTCGCCTGCACGGAATCGGAACAACTTCTGAGCATGTGTCGTTTGTCCAAGCTAATTAGTGGCAGTATTCAGGAGAGATCAACTTGCACAATCGTGCCCAAAATGCAGCTAGAGAGGCTTCAACTATTTGTGTTCGAATTCGAGAATTTTCTGTTTGGGGCCTTGTCAGCCCTATTTTCCACTTCATGTCCTTGCTGTAAAGTGATCACTTGTTTTTTCTGAGTGCGCTTGCGCGCCAAGGCTGAGCAATGTGAATCTTTTGAACACCCGTGCCTGCCGAAGAATCCAGTAGAAGCAGCAGTAAGGAACCCTGAACTAATTAAGGCACACCAAAAGGATCAAAGAATGAATTCGCCGGCAGCCTCATGGACATCCAGCGTGACGCAGTGTATGCGAGCACTCCAGCTTGTCCAGATGCAGCACGCAGCAGACGAGGACTGAAGATGAGGAAGGGAAGACAGCGCACATCTTCCACCTGCGCTGATAGAGCTCTGGACAATTTTAGGCTCTCATTGATTAATCACCTCCCACACCGGTGAGAATCAACAAAGCCTTTTGCACCGGCACACGCAATTGTCCAGGCTCTTTTCTTCCCTGAACCCTCTTGGTGCATGCGCATGCGAGCGACAAGTAATTTATAGAATAGGTTTGAAAGCACCTCGGAAACCCGAGTGGCATCTTTCGAAGGGATGAAGTCTGCGGTAAAGCAGCAGGCTGAGTCCAAAAATCTAAGAAAGGCCAGCGGCCAAGTGGGAAGTGCCAAGAGCGAGCTCGAAAGACCAACGCTGATGGACACGCACAACAGAGCTCAAAAGCGCTGCCTTGAAGATGCCTTGAGGACCCAGCTGTTGTGCTGGTTCGAGTTCAGTAGAGTCTGTAGAATAGCAGTAGCAGCAGCTGTAACAGGAGATCTGTCTGGGTCGGACTCCTCTCTTGTACAGTGTTGGCTACTACATACAGGAGCTAGTAGCGCGTTTTTGTCGTTCTTCGTCCGCTAGCTTGGCTGAACAGGGAATTCAGACCCTGGGCGAGGGCCTTGAGCGGCCCCGGCACTTGAGCCCTGAGGGCAAGTGCCTGCCGCAGGCCTTTGGGAAAGCTAGTTAAAGTGACTTCCGTGTGTTTCTGCCAAACCTTGCATATTGGGCAATTTTGGGCGCGATTCTGGCAATTTTAAGTGACCTGCCTCGTACACTGAAGCCTCCGATCTCTCTACTGGTCAGGCTTGGCGTGGCCATCATCCGGGTACCGGGCTACACACTGCCGGAGCAGGAAGCGATGGGAGGGCTGTAGATTCTGTGAAGGCGCGTGCGTCCTTGGCTCCAAGCACGAGCAGCCTCATAAGGACTTGAGTCAGCAAAGCTGCGAATCGCCAAAGCAAGTCCGGAATGACGGAGGCCCTGCGTGGAGACGTATCAGTGTCCACTGTGTGGCATGCTATCCTGAGCTCTTTTCTCTATGAAGGCCGATGCAACGGAGCAGAAGGTGCCGGAGAGCTTCAACATCGAAGAAGCTACTGGGCAGCAAGTCTGCTGCTGTTGAGCCCTCAGAGCACGTCAGCGTGAGGCAAAATCAG